ACAGCTGTCTCTTTTAGGCTTTGCCTCTCACGGGACACCAACCTCTACCAGTACTTAACCAAGAAGACACCAATAGTTATGGGAGAGCTAATGGCCCGAATCAACAAATATTCCTAGATAGAGGATGAGACGAGAGAGAAAAAGGGAAAACTCTCGCCCCTAAGAAGAAGGAATAGGAGAAAGAGGGAACCCCTTTCCAGAAGGGGTTGATGCCTCCATCTGGAAGTTCCTTCAAAGGGGTCCACATTGCATTTAAAGAGCCCATTTATAAGCTGCTCAACAAGATCAAGAAAGAACTCTTCTTCAAATGGTCGCCCAAGATGTAGGGTGATCCATCCACCAGAAATCAGAAGGTGAAATGTTCATACCACCAAGACTTTGGACACCTCATTAAAGATTGTAGGGTCTATAAGTCTTTCCTGGATAGATTAGTACAAGACGGACACCTAAAAGAATAGATCGAAGTAGTGCCAGTAGAAGCCCACGGTACCGATAATCAAGCCACTATTTGGAACAATGTCATTGATATCATCCATGTCTACTACTGGATCGACCAATTTCTAATGCTCTTAGATCTGACCTTAAGAGGGTAGCCTTTACAAGGAAGGTGGACGAAGGAGAGGGGGCCCGCCTAGTAAGATGCCCCAGACGAACAAGGGAGGGATCACTTTCTCTAATGTTGACCTGGCTAGTGTGGTCCTCCCCCATGAAGACGCCTTGATCATAACTTTGAAGGTAGGTAGGTTTGACGACAAGAGGATCTTGGTGGACTTTGGGAGTTCTCCGGAAGTAATGTACTTCAAAATCCTAAAGCGTATGGGTCTAGGTTCCCAGGATCTCACCAAAGTTAGCACGCCCCTCGTTGGATTCAATGGTTCGCATGCCTTGCCCTTAGGTAGGATCACATTGTTAGTTACCGTAGGGCCCATCATAACTGACACGAAGTTTGTGGTAATCGACTCCGATTCACCTTATAACATAATTATGGGCCAAGCCTGGCTACATGCACTCAGAGCTTTACATTCTACCTTTCACTAGAAATTGAAGTTCCCCACCCCTGAAGGAGTAAAAAGGTCTGTAGAGACCAGGCTTCTACCAAAAGTTTATTCTACAAAACAGAAAAGGCGAGGATTGCCTCCAAGGAGAAGGAGCGAGCCCCGAATGAGGTCCTGAATCAATAATAATTACAATTTGGGCGGCTGGGGGTCGACAAGCCGTGGGTTGATCTGGCAGACCGCTCAGTGGAGGCTCTCCGGAAGGTACTTCTAGTGGAAGAAAATGAAAAGAGGTACTTCCTGGTCGGCTCCACCATGTTCGCAGCCAAGCAGGAAGAGATGACAAATTTTTTGAGAAGGAATGCAGATGTATTTGCATGGGATGCCACAAAAATAAAGGGCATAAAACTAGACATGATAACTTATAGGCTTCATGTTGATCTCGCTTATAAGCTAGTGAAGCAGAAATCCCGGCGCACGACACCGCATCATGCCTAGGCGATAAATGAAGAAGTAGAGAAGCTCTAGGAGGCTAACACCATCCAGGAGGTCTAATTCCTGGAATAGCTATCAAACACTGTTTGCGCAAAAAAGAAGGGCGGTAAGTGGCGTATTTGTGTGGACTTCACCAACCTAAACAAAGCTTGTCCAAATAATGACTTTCCCCTCCCAAAGGTGGACCAGCTGATGGATGCCATGGCAGGACACCAGCGAATGACCTTTCTGAACGCCAGGGCTAGCTACCACAACATCCTTCTCCATTCGCCTGACCAAGTGAAAATTGCTTTCATCACTCCAAGGGGGGTTTATTGTTACATGGTCATGTTGTTCAGTCTAAATAATGTAGGGGTTACATACTAAAGACTCATGAACCGAATGTTTAAGTGGCAGATAGGGAACACCATGGAGGTTTATATTGATGACATGTTGGTCAAGAGTAGGGGAAGAGACGATCACATTACAGACCAGGAAGACAAACTTTCTCTACTCTCCGAGAATACAGGCTGAAATTGAATGCGACAAATTGTGTCTTTGGAGTTGGCTTTAGGAAGTTTCTTGGGTACTCAGTGAGTCGACGTGTCGTCAAAGCCAACCCAGATCAAATACAAGCTATCATGTGCGTATGACGCCCCCAAATAGTCTGCAAGGTTTAGAAACTCACAAGAATGCTAACTGTATTGAACCAATTTATCTCTCGTTCATCAGACAAGTGCAAGCCCTTTTTCAAGGTTATCAAGAAATCTGGGAAAGGTACTTGGGATCAGGAATGCAAGAATGCGCTTGGAGGGATCAAGGAGTACCTCAGGATCCTCCCAACCCTGCCCGTCCCAACGAGTGGGGAGATGTTGTTCCTGTACTTGGTCGTGTTAGAGTTTGTGATCAGTGGTGTACTGGTCCATGAACACGAATGAGAGCAAAAGTTAGTATACTATATAAGCAAGGTCCTACTGGACGCGAATACCAGATACTTGCCCCTGGAAACGAGTGTTGGCAGACTTTATCGCCGAGTTTACTAATGGAAAACCGCCTCTCCCTGAGGCAGAGCCACCTCTCCTTGGGCCCTCCACAGCCGCCCAAGAACCCTCAAGGGGGTCTCTATGTGGATGGATCCTCCAACAGCAAGGGTTCTGGAATTAGGGTACTGTTAGTCTCCCTGGAAGGGCTAGTCAAAAAGCAAACTGTCTAGCTAGGCTTTAAGGCGTACAACAATGAAGCGGAATATGAAGCCCTTATTTTTGGACTTAAACTCGCCAATGCGGCGAGAACCGCGGGTTTGATTGTCCACTGTGATTCTATTTTAGTGGTCAACCAGATCAATGGGTAGTTCGAAGTGAAGGACTTAAGAATGAAAGCCTACCACCATAAGGCAATAGCCTTACTTCACCACTTCAAAGGAGTTGAATTCAAGCAAGTTCCGTGAGATAAAAATATCCATGTCGACGCCCTAACTTGCCTAGTCTTAACGTTGGATTTCGATGTGACATGAAGGATTACGGTGAAGTACCTTCCTAACTTTAGCATAGACGAAGCTTCTAGGGTGGCAGTCATCTAGGAAGTGGAGGAGTTCCCCAGCTAGACCAATCCATTGCCCAAGTTCCTCCTTTTCAGGGAACTCCTTGAATGCCCCAAGGAAGCCAGGAAGATAAAGTTCAGGGCCCCAAGATTCTAGGTCTCCTTGGATCAAAAGTTGTACCAATGTCATTCTCAGGACAATATCTGATTTGCGTCCGTGAGGATAAAGTAAAACCTCTCATGTATGAGGTACATGAAAGCATATGTGAGTGTGGATGATCTATGGCCCATCGTATCATATCCCAAAGGTATTGGTGGCCACAATGCAAAGGGACATGCAGGCGTACGTCCGAAGATGCGATCAATGTCAAAGGTTGGCTCCAACTATTAGGCAACTAGCCGGTGACTTACATCCACTGACTAGTCACTGGTCGTTTGCTCAATGGGGACTCGACCTAGTTTGACCCCTTCTAAGAGCTCTTAGAGACAAGAGGTTCCTGATTTTAGGAACCGATTATTTCACGAAGTGGGTCGAGCAGCAGCCATTAACCCATATCAGGGACGTAGACACTAAGAAGTTCGTGTGGAAGAAGATAGTGATGAGGTTTGGAGTCCTCCATGCACTTGTATCAGACAACGAAATTCAATTCAATAGCGGACCTTTCAAATCTTTCTGTGAGCATCTTAAAATCTGAAACTACTACTCCACCCCTGCGTACCCGCAAGCAAACAGATAGGCGGAGTCCTCAGACAAAACCATCATCAATGGAATCAAGAAGAGATTGAAAAAGGCCAAGGGAAAGTGGATGGATGAGCTCCTGAATGTCCTCTGGGCATACATAACCACCCCTCAAAGCTCAATAGGAGAAACGTCTTATGCCTTCTCATATGGAGCAGAAGCAGTCAACTCGTTAGAAGTGGGACTCCCTACCATAAGGACATAAACCTTCGACATTGGGAGAAATGATCACCAACTCAGCTTGGATATGGGCCTCATGGAGGAGAGAAGGGAAGTGGTGTTCTTGAAATTGGCTAAGTATCAAGAAGGGGTGTCTAGACTCTTCAATAGAAGGGTTAAGCCCCGAGAGTTCCAAATAGGCGATCTGGTGCTTAGAAGGGTAGTGGTGAACACCTGAGATCCAGCAGATGGAAAGATAAGACTTAATTGAGAAGGCCCATACAAAGTCACGACGGCAAAAGACTCCAGGTCATATAAGCTAGAAGACATGGAAGGAAGTGTTGTAATACGACCTTGGAATGTAATGAATTTTGATGAATAAAAGACTCATCCTCATGCAAAGTGTACCATCTTGGAAGGGTCACGACCCTGGAAGTGGAATCTTAGGGACACCAGCCTCCAAATAAGGACTAGAAGCTCGCCTCCTAGAAGGGGCATGGCCCTAGAGGTGAAGTCTCAGGGACTCCAGCCTCCAAATAAAGACGGGAATCTCGCCTCCTAGAAGGGGCATAGCCCTGGAGGTGGGGTCTTAGGGACTCCAACTTCCAAATAAAGACTGGGAGCTCAGCTTCTGGAAGGAGCATGGCCTTGGAGGTGGAGTTTTAAGGACTCCAACCTCTAAATAAGGACCAAGACCTCGCCTCCTGGAAATGACATGGCCTTGGAGGTTAAGCCTCAGGGACTCCATCCTCCAAGTAAACACCAGGAGCTCGCCTCCTAGAAGGAACACGGCCCTGGAGATGGAGTCTTAGGGACTTCAACCTCCAAATAAGTAACAGAAGTATGCCACCTGAATGGAAGATGACCCCGAGGAAAAGCACTCAAAGACCTTAACATAATTCCTCTTATCGAACATATTGCTTGGAATGGGAATACTTTGCCATGCAGTATTTAACAAAGAAAACGTGAATCTTCGAAAGTTCATCTTGTTTAGGATTCCCAAAGACATGCCTGGCTTAGTAAATAAAACCTGGAAATTGGTTCTCCAAATGATACGTTTTTCTGTTCTGATGCCATGGTAACTTCACTTCAAGGAGCTAGGAGAAAAGAGATCTTAAGAAAATGGCTGACATCTAAAGAGGTGATTGATAGGGTGGAGGTGTTTGGTTATAGTGATCCACTTATCGAGAAATCTGAGCTGGATAATAGTGGGATGAGAGATCGACACTACCTTCTCAATTCAACAAACAGGGGCGATGATCACCAGAGGAGAAAGTACATGGAGGTAGGAAGGACTTATGTTGTAGCTGCTAAGTTTGCTACAGAGGAAGCATAAGGCCAAACGGTGGAGGGGGAACCTTGGCTTCAATGCGCCTTGGAGTCATCTACCATCAGTATGTATCCTTGGCTAAATATTCAATGTATCCCTCAATGCTGAGAGTTTCCAAGAGCCGGGATACTGCCACGTGTCCTCGGACCTGATGGCCACTAGAACTTACTCTATCCAAAAGTCACAAATAAGAGTTATGAGTTTTCAAAGTCATTTTCTTGTGGCCCCATAGTTTGAAGTTACAAGTACGCAAAAATAAAAAGAAAAGAGCATACATGAAATAAAGCAAAGTGATTTTCCATTCCAAGAAAAAGGGGCTTTGCGTCCCCTAGCCTACAACAGTTCAATTACAAAAACAAAAAAAGATGGGAAAAATCCATCTAGGTGGCAGCAAGTGGCCCATCAACCTCATCACCGGTGTTCCCTCCAGCATCCCCGAAGAGTTCCTCATTGCTACTGGATGAGTGGGTATCAGCATTATCAGGAAGCGACGCCATGACAGTAAGTGCAGCAGGAGCAACGGTCTAGGGAGTCAGAGGAATAGAGGAAGGGACTACAGCAGGAGCCTCCATATCAGTTGCTAGGGTTGCATACTCTCTAGTTGATGTCGAGGACGACGTTTGTGCATTGTCAGCGTCTTCAGCTGCGACCACCACCGTGACCTGGAGCATAGCTTTTAAGGGTACATATTCGTGCATAAGGAACAAAGGAGACTTGCAGGAAACCCCAGCTGCCTTAAGTGCCTCATCCCAGTCTTTCTTGAAGAACTTCCTCTTATTTTCTTCAAGAGCGACTAGGACATCATAGGCCCAGGCATCGACGATCTCTTGTTCCGTCTTCTTATTGGCCTCCATCTATGCCTTGACCCAGTCCAGCTCCTAGGTGAGAGTCGAGCAAGTCTGCTCTAACTCATCAACCTTCGCTTCTGCCAAAGATAATCGTTATGTCGCCTCGGTTATCTTCCTTTCTATGTCGGCGAGGGATGTGATGAGTGGATTTTATACCTACAAATTGTGTGTTTTGATGTTATTTTGTAAGGATGATCATTTGGAAGGAATCATGATCAATTGGAAGGAAACAAGGTCAAAATTGGAGCCTAAGTATTAGATTTTTAAAGAGGAAGGTAAAGGGCATTGTAATGGAGTAATTATAGCGTAAATAATGGATTTTAGAGCCTTGCAACTAAGTGTGGATTAGTGGTGAAGATATGGACACATTCCATGAGGATTTGGAGGCTTAAAAGTGAAAGAAATCAAGGAGGTATTGGTGTTTGGTCACATAGGTATCAACACCCACACTATTTTATACCAGTACCTCGGTTTTCTGTATTTTTAAAAATTATCCACTTCGAATATGACAAAGTGTAAAACATGAAAGTTGTAGATCTGGATGTCTTCTATCTTGTTGCAAAATTTCAGCTCAATCGGACTGTTATATCAAAAGTTATGACAATTCTACGAAAACTGGTCCGGAACAGGCCTGTAGAGGGGGGCGCACCTAGGCGCCAACATTCTATCCATACAATGCTTTTCCAGCACTTTTCAAGCACCTAGGCTCTTGTGTTAGTCTGTGACGCGAATGTTACCTTATTTTTTGACCCGAAGTTGGACTCTAAAGCTACATANAGCCCTGGAGGTGGGGTCTTAGGGACTCCAACTTCCAAATAAAGACTGGGAGCTCACCTCCTGGAAGGAGCATGGCCTTGGAGGTGGAGTTTTAAGGACTCCAACGTCTAAATAAGGACCAAGACCTCGCCTCCTGGAAATGGCATGGCCTTGGAGGTTGAGCCTCAGGGACTCCATCCTCCAAGTAAACACCAGGAGCTCGCCTCCTAGAAGGAACACGGCCCTGGAGATGGAGTCTTAGGGACTTCAGCCTCCAAATAAGTAACAGAAGCATGCCACCTGAATGGAAGATGACCCCGAGGAAAAGCACTCAAAGACCTTAACATAATACCTCTTATCGAACACATTGCTTGGAATGGGGATACTTTGCCATGCAGTATTTAACAAAGAAAACGTGAATCTTCGAAAGTTCATCTTGTTTGGGATTCCCAAAGACATGCCTGGCTTAGTAAATAAAACCTGGAAATTGGTTCTCCAAATGATACATTTTTCTGTTCTGATGCCATGATAACTTCACTTCAGGGAGCCAGGAGAAAAGAGATCTTAAGAAAATGGCTGAAGAGGTGATTGATAGGGTGGAGGTGTTTGATTATAGTGATCCACTTATCGAGAAATCTGAGCTGGATAATAGTGGGATGAGAGATCGACACTACCTTCTCAATTCAACAAACAGGGGCGATGATCACCAGAGGAGAAAGTACATGGAGGTAGGAAGGACTTATGTTGTAGCTGCTAAGTTTGCTACAGAGGAAGCATAAGGCCAAACGGTGGAGAGGGAACCTTGGCTTCAATGCGCCTTGGAGTCATCTACCGTCAGTATGTATCCTTGGCTAAATATTCAATGTATCCCTCAATGCTGAGAGTTTCCAGGAGTCGGGATACTGCCACGTGTCCTCGGACATGATGGCCACTAGAACTTACTCTATCCAAAAGTCACAAATAAGAGTTATGAGTTTTCAAAGTCATTTTCTTGTGGCCCCGTAGTTTGAAGTTACAAGTACGCAAAAATAAAAAGAAAAAAGCATACATGAAATAAAGCAAAGTGATTTTCCATTCTAAGAAAAAGGGGCTTTGCGTCCCCTAGCCTGCAACAGTTCAATTACAAAAACAAAAAAAGATGGGAAAAATCCATCTAGAGGCCAGCAGGTGGCCCATCAACCTCATCACCAGTGTTCCCTCCAGCATCCCCGAAGAGTTCCTCATCGCTACTAGATGAGTGGGTATCAGCATTATCAGGAGGCGACACCACGACAGTAAGTGCAGCAGGAGCGACGGTCTAGGGAGTCAGAGGAGTAGAGGAAGGGGCTACAGCAGGAGCCTCCATATCAGTTGCTAGGGTTGCATACTCTCTAGTTGATGTCGAGGATGACGCTTGTGCATTGTCAGCGTCTTCAGCTGCGACCACCACCGTGACCTGGAGCATAGCTTTTAAGGGTACATATTCGTGCATAAGGAACAAAGGAGACTTGCAGGAAACCCCAGCTGCCTTAAGTGCCTCATCCCAGTCTTTCTTGAAGAACTTCCTCTTATTTTCTTCAAGGGCGACTAGGACATCATCGGAGCAGGCATCGACGATCTCTTGTTCCGTCTTCTTATTGGCCTCCATCTGTGCCTTGACCCTGTCCAGCTCCTAGGTGAGAGTCAAGCAAGTCTGCTCTAACTCATCAACCTTTTCTTCCGCCAAAGATAATCGTTATGTCGCCTCGGTTATCTTCCTTTCTATGTCGGCGAGGGATGTGATGAGTGGATTTTATACCTACAAATTGTGTGTTTTGATGTTATTTTGTAGAGATGATCATTTGGAAGGAATCATGATCAATTGGGAGGAAACAAGGTCAAAATTGGAGCCTAAGTGTTAGATTTTTAAAGAGGAAGGTAAAAGGGCATTGTAATGGAGTAATTATAGGGTAAATAATGGATTTTAGAGCCTTGCAACTAAGTGTGGATTAGTGGTGAAGATATGGACACATTCCATAAGGATTTGGAGGCTTAAAAGTGAAAGAATCAAGAAGGTATTGGTGTTTGGTCACATAGGCATCAACACCCACACTATTTTATACCAGTACCTCGGTTTTCTGTATTTTTAAAAATTATACACTTCGAATCTGACAAAGTGTAAAACATGAAAGTTGTATATCTGGATGTCTTCTATCTTGTTGCAAAATTTCAGCTCAATCGGACTGTTGTATCAAAAGTTATGACAATTCTACGAAAACTGGTCCGAAACAGGCCTGTAGAGGGGGGGCGCCTAGGCGCCAACATTCTATCCATACAATGCTTTTCCAGCGCCTTTCAAGCACCTAGGCTCTTGTGTTAGTCCGTGACGCGAATGTTACCTTATTTTTTGACCCGAAGTTGGACTCTAAAGCTACATATATGCTAGGGTTTATGTGCGGGATGAAATATTCTGACTTTTGGGGGCTGAAAACATTGGAGAAAGACCAAGAAATTGGAAGAAATTTGAAGACAAGAATCGAAGAAATCAACATGAAGAAGATTGGTCTTGAAGGCTAGAGAAGGATTGAATATTGCACCTAAGTTTTCATTATTTTCTCTTACTTTTATTTCTTGATTTTCTAAGATGTTGTTTAATTTTAGAATGATGTCTTTCAATTACATTATGAACTAAATCTTTATTAAGATTGCAATGGAACCTATGTCTAGTTAAATTAATCTACTCTCGTTTTTAGTTCTTATTGATCTTATATGAATTGTTTGTCATATTTTGTGATTAATATATGATTGTGTGACCAACAATTAATTTGATAACCTAGATGAAATTAGGAGATGAACTCTAGGTTTAGATCTGAATATGATGACATATGTCTGGTTAATTCTTCTTAGAATTGAATTGTTGGGTTTGTGTATAGGATAAGAATATACTTATATTCCGTATGTAACTTTTATAAGAGTTTGAACTTAATGAATCTATTCCAACTTATTTTGCATAGGAATATAGTAATTTAATTGGGAGATAATTTTATCTAACTATCGGAAGAGGTTTGATAAATAACTNTATGATGACATATGTCTGGTTAATTCTTCTTAGAATTGAATTGTTGGGTTTGTTTATAGGATAAGAATATACTTATATGCCGTATGTAACTTTTATAAGAGTTTGAACTTAATTAATCTATTTCAACTTATTTTGCATAGGAATATAGTAATTTAATTGGGAGAGATAATTTTATCTNCGGGTAAATTCAACCCTTGATTGTTAAGTTTATATTTAGTTTTAATTTAGTCATTCCATAGTTTAATTCTAATTGTTTAAATAAAATTCAATTGATATAAAGTTAGTACTTAGATATTATGAGCAATAATTCTCTATGTGAACGATACTCTACTTATCACTTTATTACTTGTTGATCGTGCATACTTGCACGTAAATTGTCAATATCGAATTTGGACAACACTTTCCCCCAATGGTGCATAGATGAACGATTGATTCTTGGGAAGCTAGGGAGGAGATGGTAAGGATCCAAGCATAAACCATGACCAGGCCTATAGAATATCAANTTAATATTATTAGCAATAATTCTCCGTGAGAACGATACTCTACTTATCACTTTATTACTTGTTGATCGTGTATACTTGCACATAAATTGTCAATATCAAATTCGGNTTGTTTAAATAAAATTGAATTGATATAAAGTTAGTACTTGGATATTATTAGCAATAATTCTCTGTGGGAACGATACTCTACTTATCACTTTATTACTTGTTGATCGTGTATACTTGCACGTAAATTGTCAATATCAAATTCGGACAACATGATGCACTTAGCTTTTCAGTGCTAACCCTCGCCGCTTCATTGTCCTTCAAGAGATGGGCAATTTGGGCTGCCTGGGAAGACAGTGTAATATCCCTGGCAGCCATGTCCTCCCTCACAGCTGCAAGAGCTCCCTCGGCCTTAGCCTTCAGCCTCTTGGATTGCCAAAGCCTCTCCCTCTAAGANATGCACTTAGCTTTTCAGTGCTAACCCTCGCCGCCTCATTGTCCTTCAAGAGATGGGCAATTTGGGCTGCCTGGGAAGACAGTGTAATATCCCTGGCAGCCATGTCCTCCCTCACAGCTGCAAGAGCTCCCTCGGCCTTAGCCTTCAGCCTCTTGGATTGCCAAAGCCTCTCCCTCTAAGAGTGGAAGCGCTCGGTGATGACCGAGATTTGCTGAGCAGTCTGTTAAAGAAAAGAAGAAAAAGTCACGCCGCTGCAAATAAGATAGAAAAACAAAGAGAATTGTTACATAAACTTACCACCAGGGAACTTTGGATTATTGAGCGGAAAAGTTGGTTGATTGCCCTCCGCTGGTGTTCCTCCATATCGCCTCCAAAGAGGAGCGTCTAACTCACAGCATAAGCCATGTGAGGAGAATGGATGATAAAGTCATTAACTTGGATCGGCCTATTATATCGATCCCGGGCCCGAGGGTGCCACTCCTTAGCAGTTGTCGTCGATGCCGGAGGAGGAGAAGGAGTTCGCTATTGCTATTGTAGTTGTTGTTGCTGCTACGGATGTTGTTGGGAGCCCCTCCCTCGGCCCGTTCCATTGCTCCTTTATTTAACCCTCCTCTTTTCCTCGATTTGAGGATATCTTTCACGGACTTGGTACTTGATCGTTTTCATTGTAGTATATCCTAATCTCTAAACATCACCCCTCATTGCGTATAGTCCATGTGTGGAGGGGAGTTCATTCTCTCTTGGAATAATGTCAAAATAAAGGGCAACGGAATGGTGGAATAAAATGTGTGTGTGTGTGTAAACAAAAATGCTTCCCAAGCGCAAGAAAAATTTCGTGTGTCGTGTTTTACTTGGAATCATATTCCAAGATCGTCTCCTCAGGGAAGGAGGTGAATTGTGTGGAAGGTACTTTTGGTGAAAGAAAAGTGTAAAATCTTTTGTTATTTGAAGTTGGTTTGTGATTTATATTGTGATGAAATTGAAATGGAAAACAAGTGTTGGCTAATCCAAAGGGTTCACTCAAATGAAAATGTCAAGTCAACTCGAAACCTTCTTCCAATGGTGCATAGATGAACAATTGATTCATGGAAAGCGAAGGACGATATGGAAGTGAGGATCCAAGCATAACCCATGACAAGTTTACGGGATATCAAAGACTCACACCATGTCCTCACTCAACCCAGTCAAACTGAACCATCGTACATCCAGGGGAGGAAAGAAGATGAGTTGAAATAACATACCTAAGAGGAGGTCTCCCTTAGATTAGTCAACTTAAAGACTTAGCTACTCATGTTTAAGGTAAAGACAACAATGTAATGAGAAGACATTATGAAGAAATGAAGATTGGAGCTAAGCATAAACGAAATGCACAAATATATAATTATACATGTCATTCACCTCTTACTAAAGATTGGATGAGAAACTACTCACTCTTCATGGCTTTAGTAAAGCTAGAAAAGTGCGTGATGCTCATCCCTCCAAGTAGAGGAGTTGCAAGGTAAAACATATTACACACGGAGCCAATCTTCGACAAAAAATGAGTAAATCACGTTCCACCTTTCATGGCTTTGGTATAACTCTAGAAAAGTAGAAGAGTTTTACTCCTCTAAGGAAATAAAGAAGCTCAAAACAATGGAAATAAAAAAAAAATAATTAAAAGAAAGCAATAATAAAATAAAAGAAAATAATAAATTAAAAGAAAACAATAATACAAAATTAAAAGAAGTAATATATTAAAAGAAAACAATAATACAAGAAAAGAAAGCAATAATAAGAAAACATTAATGACTTTTGGAGGAT